TCACAAGGGGCCCCTGGGTGGCTCAGTTGGTTGACGTCTGACTTTGGCTCAGGTCGTGATCTTACAGTGAGTTCGAGCCCCACGTCGGGCTCTGTGCTGACAGCTCAGAGCCTGGAGCCTGCTTCGGATTCTGTGTCTCCCCCTCTCTCTGCCCCTCCCATGCTCATGCTCTCTCAATAATAAATCAATGTTAAAAATTTTTTTAAATACTTCTCATAATATTGTTGTGTAGCTGCTCCAGTCTCCCTTCCCTTTGGCCCAGTAGCTTCTGCTCCCTAAGGACACTCTGATTTGCACTGAAAAAACTACTCTAGAATGAATTGAGGGAGTAGGGGCTGGTCTGATGGATTCAGCCCTATTGGGTAGCTAAGCCACTACACCACTCTACCCCAGACTGGAGGAAGGCACTCCTGAGTATCCTCTTTTGTTAGAGGTTGATATTGGTAGGGGACAGGAAAAGCAGGGACATGACTTTAGATGCCTGTTATGGGCCAAATTGTGTCTCCCATGCCCCTCAAATTCACGTGTTAAAAACAGAACTCCTAACATGACCGGATTTGGAGAAAGGGCCTTTGAAGAGGTAATTGAGATTATGTGAGATCCTAAGGGTAAAACCCTAATCCAATATACTGGTGGAATATAAGAAAAGAGATACCAGGAGGCACACACACACACAGAGAAAAGGCCACGGGAGGACGCAGTGAGAAGGCAGCCGTCTGCAAGCCAAGGAGAGAGGCCTCGGGAGAAAACAAACCCGCTGCCATTGGCAGCTTGGACTCCAAGCCTCAAGAACAGTGAGAAAATAAATGTGTTGTTTATTTATTTATTTATAATTTTATTTTGTTGTTTATTTTTTTATTTATTTTATTTTATATTAAATACCCAGGCTGTGGTGTTTTTGTGATGGCAGCCCTGGCCAACTGATACAGTGTCCTTAGGAAAAGTAGGCCCAGGTCCCTAATCAGTCTCTTGCTGACAAGATGTGCCCAAGAATCGAGGAACAGCAGCCCTACTAGAAGGCAGATCCAGCAGTGACTCTGCCACATCTGTCTTCAAGCCATCATCCTGGTCATTACTGTTCTAGTGTCCCTACACACTGCCCACCCCTACCCCATTTCATGATTCCCATCGCTAATTCTAGACTTCCACCTAGCCTCTGCTGTCCCACGAGGACACCTTCCCTATAATCCCCCTCCCCTTTCCCTTTCTGACCCCATTGCACCGACACTGCCTCCTATACAGGGCCTGTCCCTTCATCCCTATCTGTTGGGGATTTTTAACATTTTTTTTATTCTTTGGCGGGGAGGAGAAAGAATGAGTGGGAGAGGGGCAGAAAGACGAGGGGTAGAGAGAGGATCCCAAGTAGGCTCCTCACAGTCAGCACAGAACCTGAGGAGGGCGGCTCGAACTCACAAACTGTGAGATCATGACCTGAGCTGAAATCAAGAGACGGACGCTTAACCGACTGAGCCACGTGGGTGCCCCTATTGGATATTTTTAAATGTGAGTGTTCTGTGCATGTCTTTCCGCACTGGACTTCAAATACTCAAAGATGAGTCTAGCATTCGAGACCCTTCACAAGATGGCTTCAGTTTACCTCTCCAGCTTCTTCCCCCAACTTGGCCAAGTCCGCGCTAATCTACCTGCTACCCCTTGAACATAACGATGCTCTCCGAAACTCCCAGTCTCTCAGGCCACGTGATGTGCCACCTCCTCCAGAAGGCTTTCTCTGACTACCTCAGCTACACACATAAGGGAACAATCTCTGTGCGCTTATTTCCGTGTCTAATCTAGTGCTCTGCCACATGTGACAGTAACTACTCGGCACTGACAGCCCGGAGGAAAGGAGTCAGAGGCATGAGGGGGTGCAAAAGTGCAATGCAATTCTGATGCTAACTACCCAGAGGGAGCACATACTCCACAGGTTTAAGGCCAAGTCCCCAGCAAGACCGCCCTCACTTCAGATGCCAGCTGTAAGTTCAGGGGTCCCCAGGAGACCTGTACTTCCAGGCCACAGGTCAGTACACTTCTGGGGGTGTCTGGGTGGCTCAGTCGGTTAAGTGTCAGACTTCAGCTCAGGTCCTGGTCTCACGGTTCTCAAGTTCGAGCCCCGCATCGGGCTCACTGTGGTCAGTGCGGAGCCCACTTTGGATCCTCTGTCCCCCTCTCTCTGCCCCCCGCCCCCGCTGGCTCTCACAAATAA